GCCGCACCCGTCGCTGCGCGCCGAGACCGTCTACCTGCGCCGGGGCGTGCGGCGGCTGCTGCGCCGCTTCGGGGTCGAGTGGGGCATTCCGCTTGTGCTTGTGACGAAGTCGTCGCGGCGGCGCACCGAGGCGATCTTGTCGCAGCTGCTGGACCCCGACGGCGAACTCTTCCTGAGAGGGGCCGGCCGCGTTTTCACAGCGGAGTTGCTGCTGCAAACTGGGCCCGCTAGCAACACGCCAACGCCTGCCAGCGGCGAGGACAGGCGGCAGCGCTTCCAAGAGGACCTGGTGAACTGCGTCAAGTCTACAGTAGCGGTTCTACAGGAACTAGACCGCGCGCCAACGCAGCGTCAGCAGCAAGAACAACCACCAAAGGCGCGAAGTGTCGCCGTGCTGGATGACGCGCCGCAGGTGTGGGCTGAGGTGGATTGGCCGTGTACGGTGCACGTCGCCCCATACACACTCGATCGAGTAGACCCCCGTGAGTACTTCACGGCAGACGGTCTTATCGCGTCTCTGCTGCTTTCGACACTCTACAACAGCAAGTGCGTGGTGTGCCCCACGCCACATCCTGGCGCACACGCAAAACAGTATCACACGAATCTGGAAAGGAGCAACGAGGAGGAGGATGAGGTGGCGTCGTGTGCGGAACACAGCGTAGCGTCGTTCGCCACAACAATGACGGACTTCGAGGACGAGGAGGAGGACGAAGGAACGGACGCGAGTGAGGGGGAGGAGGAGGAGGAGAAAGAGGACGTGAGTGCGTCTAGCGCCGTAGAAACTCACTTACAGGCGACGAGCCTCGGGAAAGGAGGGACCACTGGCGAAGTTGCTGCAGCTGCTGCTACTCCCGAGGAGGAAGTGGCGCTCGCGGAGGAGGCGGTGGTGGAGGAGGAAGAGGCCGGCAGGCACGACGGCAGCCACTGGGCCACGGCGGACGTGGAGGATGTAACCCCTCTTTGAGGGAGAGACGCACACGTGTTCGTCTGTTCCATGGGGGGGAGGGTGCTTCATGTGTGTGTGTGTGTGTGTGTGCTGTTTGCTGCGGATACCGTTACTGCTCTCCCATTTGAGTGACCTTTCTGAGCTGCCGTGGGCCTCCAGCCGACTCTCTTTCTCTCCCACCTCCGCTCTTATTTGTTATTTGCTATTTTGCTCTTTACGGCCTTCCTGCTGCCTTTGCTACGGTCGCGGAGGGGGTGGGTGGGAAACGGCCTGTGGAAGGACCCGCGGAGAAAACAACGGGATCGCGCGAGCGTCGTGTGTGTTGGGTTGCTGTTTTTTTTTTTTGCTTTCAGTTATCGCAAGCAGGAAGATAGAGAAGACGCGCAAGAGATACAAACATACAAAGACAACGAAGAAAAGGAATGAAAAATCGATACGAACTGCCAGAGCGGGTGCGGTGGTACCACACCCTGTGGGACATGCGCAGGAGGGAGTTCCGCACAGTGTACCTAACGAACAAGCACCGCCAATGGCGCATGTTTTGGAGGTACGAGAGCCACTTGGTCTACGAGCGTGTGATTATGGGCTTCGTGGTGGCGTCGGGCCTCTTCCTCATGTGCAACACGGACTTCGTGGTGTCCATCTTCCGCCTGCCGACGGAGGACGTCAATGAACTGCTCAAGCAGGACGTTTGGCGCAAGTATAGGAATGAGATCAATGAGAGGAAGGAACACGCGAGCAAGATGCTGGAGGATTCCAGCTACGTTCATAACAAGAACAAACCCATCCCGAGCTGAGCGGAGGACTGGGGTGGGGAAGCACGACTGCCTGAGGCCACGTGCACCGCTCTGCCATTGCGCATGCCATCTTCGACATTGGTCGAGAGCAACAACGGCAGCCGCAGCCGCAGCAGCAGTGGTGACAACTCTCCCTATTTCCCTCTCTCTGTGTCTGTCTGCCTCTTTGTCCCCCATTTCTCATCCTGTGTGATTCTACACCAATTTTTTGGCTTCAATTTTCCTTCTCTCTCTCTCTCTCTCGACATATATATATATATATATATGAGAGTTGCATTCGTTTTTCTTATTTTTGTTTTTATTGCTCCTTGGAGTGCAGCAGCATACTCTCTCACACACACACACACAGCCACACACAGAGAGAAGGAGGGCTCATGGCCATTTCTCGATTCCGTCACACGCAGTCTGTCCCGTCGAGGCTGGACAAACAGTTCCTCAACGTCTCCCCTACAGGCGCAATATGGGACTGCAGCAACATGATGGCCTGCAGCGACCGCTTCCTTGCGGTGCCGTGGGCGCAGCTCGGCAGCACAGCGGTGCTGCGCCATACCGACTACGGCAAGGTCGCTGCAAACCCGCCGATTCTGTTGGGGCAAGAGGGCCCCATTATTGACGTCGCCTTCAACCCGTTCGACTCCACTAAACTCTTCACCGCTAGTGAGGACGGTACCATCATGGGGTGGTGCATCCCCGAGGAGGGGCTCACGGAGAACTGCAGCGACCACACGGTGCACCTACATGGGCACAGCAAGAAGGTGGGCATCATCAACTTCCACCCAAGCGCGGCCAACGTTCTGGCCTCCGCAGGCGCCGACATGGTAGTCAACGTGTGGGACGTGAGTTGCGGTAAGGCGGGCGAGGTGCTGAAGTGCCACACAGATCAGATTATGTCGCTTGACTGGAACCTTGACGGCTCGCTGCTGTGCTCCACGTCGAAGGACAAGAAGGTGAATATCATGGACCCAAGGAAGGGCGATATTGTCGCGTCAGGGAGTGCCCACCAGAGCGGCAAGACGCAGCGTTGCCTCTGGGCGAAACGACCGAATCTCATTATGACAACCGGCTTTAACAAGGCGCAGGCCCGCCAGGTGATGGTCTGGGACGCACGCAACATGACGGCGCCAGCACAGACAGAGGATATCGACCAGTCCAGCTCTGTCATGCTGCCCTTCTTCGATGAGGACACCAATCTATTGTACATTGCGAGTAGAGGGGAGGGCGGCATCCGCTTCTACGAGTTGATGGATGGGAGACTCGTGAACTGCTCCGCCTACACATCATCGGAGGTGCACAAGGGACTCTGTATCTTCCCGAAATGGTCGTTGGACACGCGGCAGTGCGAGATAGCACGTTTTTGCGCACTCACACCTAAATCTATTTACACAATTCAAATGCTTCTCCCGCGTAGGCAGGCGGACGTTGAGCTGCAGATGGACGTGTACCCGCCGACCTTCGCAGACAAACCCGCTTTAACAGCAGAGCAGTACTTCAACGGGGAGAACAGTGAGCCCCTTGTGACGGGAATGCAGGCCGTATTTGATGGAACTGAACGTGAGGTGAAGACAGCTCTTGAGATGACCCCAGGAATGAGAACGCAAGGTGGTACCACACCAGCCAGGAGCCAGAACTTTACCCCAACACCAGCCAGAAGCCAGCACGTTCAACCTACGCCAGCACATTCTCAGCAAGTGAATCCCACGCCTGCCAGAGCTCACCTGTTTGGCACCACACCGGCGAGGCATATCGATCCCATGGCTATGGAGCCGAGTCAGCGGGTATCGGAAGTCAAAAATCATGAAAAAGACACGGAAAAATTAATGATACAGCTAAAGGCTCTTACGTCGCAGCTGGAGCGACAAAAACAGGAAGCTGAAAAGTGCCGAGATGAGATGGAGAAGAAGTTACGTCTTGTCATGGAGACTGTTGACGAGATAGTCAGCATCACCTCCAGGATAAGCTCGTAGCGTGGCCTCCATGCTCGAATATGCGGTGCAGTCTCTCCGAGTTCTTTTTCGCGGAGGCACACACACTTCCTGTATCACTCACTGCCTTTTCTTAAACAAAAGCAAAAAAAAAATCTGCTCGTTGCTAGAGGACCATTTGTATCGCTCTCGTGATCTCACATATTATAATGTGCTATTCATTTTGGTTTTGCGCCCTACGAATGCTCCACCTCCACCTCCCTCCCTTTTTTGTTTTGCGTTGTGCGCACCGCACCACTCACCGAATTGTTGTTGTTGGTGGTGGTGGTGGTGCGACACCGACCCAGATAGACATTGAAACAGCGCCAAAGGAATTTCGAGAGGGCACAGAAAAGAAAAAAAAACCGTAGGGTGTTGAGGCTTTGCTCAAGCGTCTTGCTTGTATACCTGTCCCCGTATATCTCTGTGTGCGTGCGTGCCTGCCACCGAGGTCATTTGGGGGCCTCTGTCTGGGTGATCTGCTGACGCTGCCGCTTCTTTCCCCATTCTGCTTCCATTTATCTTTCTCCCTCGCGCCCACGCACATGCGCTCCATCACCCCGTCTGTTCTTTGTCTATCTGTTTCCCACTCCCTCGAAAACGAAAAACAGCAACAACAATAAAAGCGAGCGAACGCACACATATATATACACACCTGCGCCTCTGTGTGTGTATGTGTGTCTGGCTAGGGCCACAAATCCTCCTCCGCACACACACACACACACACCACACACACGCATAGGCGTTTATATACGTCTATTTGGTACGGACGCATGCACCACCTCTTGTCACCACGGACGGCGCGGCACGCCCGCCTGTTCCGCCTCGCCAACCGCCTTGCTGCAGCCCCCGGCGTACCGCAGACCGACGGCGAGCGCCTGCTTTGGGTGAACTCGCACGTGAAGCGTAATAAGGACATGGAGCTCTCCCGCCTGGAGGAGGAGCTGCGTGAGCGGCAGATGCCCCTCGAGGTGGGCGAGAACGCCTTTGCGGCGAGCGGGCAGGCAACGCACGGCAACCTCTTCCAATTCCGAGATTACCCGATGTATCCCGGTGAGTACGTGCCCGCCGAGCACAATACACTCTCCTCGCTGCGCGACGAGCTGCGCCTCGAACTCACTGCGCAGTCGTTGAAGGAGGCGTGGATGCGTGTGAGCGGTGGCGTCTACTTCCAGTCGGTGGAGGACTACTACGCATCCGTTGATGGCCTCGACGCGGAGCAGCTCGGGGAGGTCCTCGCCGCGCTCTTTCCCGACCTCAGCGCCTATGAGGCGCAGGCGCTCGTGCAGTGTACGCTGGAGTCGATCAGCAAGCCGATGAACACCGCGTCGCGGCAACTGAGCCGCACCATTACGGCGGATGCGGTCGGCCTTGACAACGCCCCCGGCCACTACACAAACTTCCTTGAGTGGATGGGGCGCCTCACCGAGACGCGTGCCTTCAAGACGGAGCACGCCCTCTTCGAGTTCAGCCGCCGCAAGTTCAACAGGGACGACGTGCGTGTCATGTTCGAGAATTACGGCCTGATGAGCAGGGCGACACTCGCCGCCGACAGCTCGGACAGCTACACACACTTCTACACGGTGCTGAAGGACTTTGCGCGCAAGGTGGCCGGTGAGGACTCGCGCCACCAGATCGGTGTGCGCATCGACGAGGCGGAGGTGGACACAGAGACCGGCATCGCTGTGGGCCGCGGCTGCGCGGATGGAGAGAAGTACCAATTCACCGCACTTTTGCGCGAGAACCGCGACCACAACGGCGCCATTACGGTGATGGGCAAACCGCTCTCCCTCGTGCTCGACAACAAAGCGTGGCTGATGGAGATGGTGCTCATGCCGTTCGATGAGGCGAAGCTGGATTATAGGGACTTTGACGTGCACATTGTGTCGGAGGGGCATGCGATGCCTTCTATTGCCAATGAGATCGCGGCCTTTGCGCTGCGCATGGCCGTCGCTAACGCTCTGGTGAAGTTGCTGCCGCTCACTCGCATTCCGCTGAAGAAGTCTGGCCTGCTCTCTGTCGACCGGCGCCGCGAGAGGGGCCAATTCCCAGGCTACGTTGACGGGAAGAAGACAAAGCGGAAGTTCGCCAAGCGTTAGCAAAGGCAATGGTGGAATACGGTCTGTAGTGAGAGAGGTGGAAAAACAACAAGAAAAAACAACATCAGAAGGACCGGAAAACGGAAGTGCCTTCCCCCAAACACAAAGACTTTATGTCTCCCCCTGTTTGCTGTTGCGTTTGCTTTGCCCATGTTTGTTCTTTTCTTTTTTTCCTCTCGCTTTGTACCGTAACCCCCCCGAAAAATGGAATCAATATTTTACAAAAAAAATACACCAAACAACAACAACTACCCCCCCAAAAAAAGCGAAACAAAAGAGACAGAACGAGAGATGCTTCTCATTCTGCTCGCTGCGGTCATCTGGGGCACTACAAACCCATTGCTGAAACGCTACAGCACTGGTATGGCCACACAAACCACCTCGTTCCTGGAGGACCTGTGCTTCCTTGCGTCGCGGCCCAAGTACCTCGTGGCGCAGCTCACCAACCTGAGCGGATCGGTATTCTTCTTCGCTGGCCTGCGCGATGTTGACGTGGCGATTGGCAGCATAGTAGCCAATGCACTGGCCTTTGTGATCACCGTGCTGGTGAGCGTCCTCGTGCTGCAGGAGGGCACACTGCGGCCGCGAACGTTGCTGGGAAGCTGCCTGGTGGTGAGTGGGACGGCACTCTGTGGGCTCGCCGCCTCGACGGACGCCTGAGCAGGTGTGCACCTGTGGGAGTCTTTCTGAGAAACTGTGGCGGGCATGTTGCATGGATTACTATTGCTTTTGAATATGTGAGGCAACGCCTTTGAGACTCTTAATAACATACACACTCCTTCCCCTTACTCTCTCTCGATCTCGTTCGCGATTTCTACACACACTCACACCCTTAAACACACCTGCCACCAAACATAAAACAGATGCAAATATGAAACGTATTGTTGCGCCGCGGCGGTGGTCGCAGATGAACCGCGTTGAGCACCCGCCCCTTATGATGAAGCCGCTCTTCCAAGGCGTCTGTGGAGGACTGCGGTGGCATGACGTAAAAGCGCTGGCGGAGCACCTCGCCACGCGGGCAGTTGAGGAGGGGTACCCGAGCACACTGGACATACGCCGTGCCCTCGATGTTAAAAAGGCTTCACTCCAGAAGCGCCGGCTCGTAAAAAAGGATATGAGGAAACATGCAGCGGCCCTCTCATTGACATCATCCCACAACGCTTTAACAGTAACGGGGGACCTTGAGTTGCGCGTGACAAAGCAGAAGCGGCTCGTGTCGTACGACGTACTCGACTGCACGTTGGGCGGCGGCTACCACACAGGCGCTGTGCTCGAGAACGGCAGTCCATACACACGTGTCGTGGCAATTGACTGCGACCGTGGTGCGTCCCATGTAGCACGGGGGTTGGCCGATGAGTTCGGTGGCGACCGCTTCCGCTTTTTCTGCAGGATCATGTCGGAATCAAAGTCGATGTTTGGCGAGCGGTCCTTTGATGCCGTTATGATTGATGCTGGCCCCTCTGACACGCAGTTGGAGGACCCAGAGCGTGGGTTCCTCCTCGATGACGACGCGCACTCTCTCGACATGCGCTACGGGCGGCAAGTCGGCCTCGGCGCCCTTGCGTACCTCAACAGTGTGCCGCAGCACGCCCTGGCGAGGGCGTTGTGCGCTTACGGCATCCTCACACCCCAGCAGGCAATGAAAATGGCACGCGAGGTGCGGCAGCGGCGCCCATTTGCGAGCGCACGGGATGTACTTGCTTGTGTGGAAACCGCAGGCGATATGCTTCCTGACGACGGCTGGCGGACACAGCAGAGCCGTCGCAAGACGCCAATGTCGTGGAAGTTCCTCACCTCTGTGCGATGCATCGTCAACAACGAGAAATATGAGCTGCAGCAGGCCATTGAGAATGCTTTGCTGTTACTGCGCGATAACGGCCGTTTGGTCGTGTTCTCGCGGTTATTGTGGGAGGAGCATCTGATTAGAAGCATACTTGAAAGCCACCCACACGCGCTGTTGTGCTACTCAGAAACGGTGCCAGCTGAGGAGATTGGCGCCTACGGCTTCATGCGACACACAAAGATGTGGGTTGCTACCCGCATCGCAATGTCATCTTACGTGCTGAAGAACACCACCTCACTCACAGAGGAGAAACTGCAGGAGAGTTCACTCCGTTGGCTCAGCGGCATGCACGCCGGTCAGACGCACGGCTTCCCAGCAAACAATTTCACATTTGAAGACATTGAGCACGACGAGCGGCGTCAACAGGAGATAAATAGCCAACTGCCGCCACTAGACATCGGCATCGATGTCAAGTAGTCACAGCTGTCACTGACAAGGAGTTTCGAATGACAACACTGGTATCTGCCTGTAACTTTTCAACCCTACTGGTCAGACTCACATTGTGGATGCTAAGGTTTTTTTCCCAACTGGGGCTTCTACTTTGTAACAATTATGTGCTACTCGGACAATAGGAGAAACAAACAAGCGGGGGGCAAAGCATTGATATCGGCCGTGGCGTGAGAGCGCGCGGCGCCCTTCTTCCGCGCCACCTACTGACTGTCTATGTGGCGGTACCGGTGGACTTGAGCCCTGGTAGGGTGGGGACAGACATCTCGGATGGCGTCGGGTGGCGTGTGTGTTTTTGCGTTCTTCTACCCTCTGTTGCTCCCCTTCACACTTCCTCTTTCTCTGCGACCGTCGACAGTAAGAGACACACTATAACCTGGTGCTGGTAAGGCTTACCAAACCCGGATACACACCGCGAGCCACTTCTGAAGCATAGCGAAGATATTTGTTTCTGTCCGAGCCAGGCAAGAGGCTGAGATAAACAGGGTCCTGAATGCCGCGCCATACACGTTTTGTCTTCCTCCTCCTCTCCCTCCTCCTTGCGTTCGACGGTATACGGCCCACGCACGCTCTGGGGGTGAATTCGCGCAGAGTTGAACTCTTTGCGCGAGGGAAGTCGACGGTGCCCTTCGAGCAGGACGATGGAGAAGTTGTGCCGAGGGTGGCTCATTCCTTCCGGATCCCCTCACTCGTGGAGGTGGACGGGGTGCTTGTCGCCATAGGAGACGCTCGGTATTTGAGCGATGATGATAACGCTTTCATTGAAACTGCGGTGAAGTTCAGCGTTGATGGTGGGAGTACGTGGGAAACGCAAATCGCAATCAAGAACAGCCGTGTGAACAGTGAACGCTCCCGTGTGCTGGACCCGACAGTCATCGTGAAGGGGAACAAAATTTACGTTCTGGTGGGGAGCTACAATATAACTTCGACCTACTGGACTTGGCAGGGTGATGGAAGCGACTGGGAGCCCCTGCTGGCTGTTGGCGAGGTCAACAAGACAACCGTGGGTGGCAAGCCAAACGCAACGATCACATGGGGCAAGCCCGTGTCGCTGAAATCCATCTTTCCCAAGACGATCGCAGGTGCACCATCGGCACAGTTCCTGGGCGGTGTGAGCAGAGCCATTGTGCTAAATGACAAGACTCTTGTATTCCCTGTACAGGCCACGAACGAGAAGAAACAGATCACCTCGATGATCATGTACTCGGACGATGATGGTGCGTCGTGGTCATTTGGGTCGGGCAACACTCATATTGGCTGCTCCGAACCTTCCCTCGTGGAGTGGGAGGGGAAGCTCATCATGAACGCCCGAGTTGACAACGCCCCCCGCAAGGTGTTTGAGTCGACGGACATGGGAGAGACGTGGTCCGAGGCTGTGGGGACGCTCTCTCGTGTGTGGGGCCCCTCACCCTCACGTACAGAGCCCGGTAGCCAAGGCAGCTTCATCACGGTGACCATTGAGGGGGTGCGTGTGATGCTGTTTACCGTTCCTCTGAATTTCAAGGGGAGGTGGCTGCGCGACCGGCTCCACCTCTGGGTGACGGACAACAGGCGCATCTTTGACGTTGGACAGGTTTCTGATGGTGACGAGGACAGCCCCTACAGTTCCCTGCTGTACACAAAGGCCGGCAAGCTGTATTGTCTGCACGAGATGAGCCATGATAGGGTGTACAGCCTTATTTTTGCGGAGCTGATCGACGAGCTGGAGCTGGTGAGATCCGTGGTGAGGACGTGGAAAGCGCAGGATGAATACTTCTCGAAGACGTGCAGCTCCACCGCGTCGGAGGCTCTACCGTCGGACGGCGGTTGTGCAGCTGCTGTCCCCACAGGTGGGCTTGTGGGGTTCTTGTCCGGCAACTCGGACGACCATCACTGGCAGGACGTGTACCGCTGCGTGGACGCCAACGTGACGGGCGCAGAGAAGGTGACCAACGGCCTGCTGTTCAAGGGGCACGGTGCTGGTGCCCTGTGGCCAGTGAACCTGCAAGGACAGAATCGACGCTACGAATTTATGAACAACGCCTTTACCCTTGTGGCGACGGTGACGATCCGCGAGGCTCCGGCATGCGAGAAGAATCCTCTACTGGGCGTGAGCATGACCGTGGGTGGGGGGAAGAGGGTCCTCGGACTGTCGTACGGGAAGAATTACCAATGGAGACCCGTATACGGTGGTGTACTGATGAATGCGGAAGAAACATGGGAGTTGAACAAGCCGTACCAAGTTGCCATCACGATGGGTGCGGACACTTCCTCTGTGTACGTTGATGGGAAGGTTCTGGGAGGCGCAGCCCAGCCGCTGCCTCCGGCCCTGAAGGTGCGCGACTTCTCACACATCTACATTGGCGGGCTCGCGGACGGCAGCAAGGGCCCGTCAAGCTCTGTGACGGTGGCGAACGTTCTCCTCTACAACCGCGTGCTGAGCCCCCACGAGGTAGAGACGCTGTCCTTGTACAAGGATAGTATTGCTGTGGCACCGGATGCGAGGCTGGAGGCCCCCAGCCCCTTTGCCATCCCTGGCGCCGAGACGGCTGTGATGCCGAAGACTGACGGCGGGGCGAGCCCTCTGCCCCAAGTGCCCCAGTCGCCACCGGACGCCGTTCCTCGCGCAACCAGCGAGACGGTCACGCCCGCAGTCAATCATGGCGGTGGGCGAAGGGAGAATGAAGATGATGGCCCTCTGGCTGAGGTGATTCAGTGCCCAGAGGCGGACCGTGAAGAGTCCTCTTTGGACAGCACAGTCGATGTGGATGCTTCGAGGTCCGATGAATACGACGCTGCACAAGCGCATGCGCGGATGCTGTTACTGCTGCTTCTGGGCGTGTGGGGACTTGCGGCCCTGTACTGAGTATGTCGAAGTTGTTCTGCGACTCGTGAGGAAGTACGTTTGTCTCCCTGAAGACCGGCTTCGTTCCGGGCTTACGCCCTCGTTTTCCTTTAAATCGTTGATGTTTTCTATATTTCTTTTTTAAAACATATTTTGTTTGTTTTATCCTTTCGTATCTCCAAGTTGTTGTTTCTCTTTACCACGAGGATAGCAAATTGTTTTTCTTTGCAAATTGGTGGGGGCGTGGTGTGTGATTTCGAGTGGAGGAAAGAACAGACCTGCCGCCCTGTTAACCCTGAGCGTTTTGTTTCCTTTTTACGGTCGTTTGAGTAATTGACGCATATAATGTTGATGCGTATATAAGTGCTGTACTGGAAAAGATATACACGACTCTATGCCTCTACAACAGAGCCCGATGCCGCTCGAAGTTATATTCCTGTGGGATGGACATCTCCGGGTTTGAGCGTATTTTTGTCTTTCTTTCTTTTCTTTGATGTGCTGGGTGAATGTCGCAGCTGCGCGGTTTGTGGCAAAGTGCAGTGTTTGTGGTGCAGGTGGTGCAGGAAATGTAGGTAAGCATGCCAGAGCGAACACCCGCACACGCATCAGGGGCATAGGACACGGACCGCCTGGTGGCACCAGTGTGGGGTACCAGGTGTCTCTTGCGCAGTGCCCTGAGATGGCCTGAGATGATGTTGTGTGGGGGGCCCTTGCTGGAGGGAGCTTGGGACACCGTTGTGTACTGTCTTCCTGCCGCTGGCGTTGCGGCTTCATCAACCTGAGCCTTTGCTGTGCCCGCATCTTTGGGGCAGCTGCATCTGCTGGACGAGGTGCCAAGATGGCCCGGCGGCGGGCACCCTTGCAGGGCGTGGCGCCGCTGTTGGTGCAGTGGATGTGGCTTGTCGTCTCCCGCCGTGCCCTCGCTGCTGCTGTGCCGGGGCTGTGTGGGCGGCCCGCCGTGGTGCGGCGAGGCGCGTGAGCGGGGATGCGCAATGCCGGCGCGTCACCACTGATTCCTTGCACAGCCGGAAGAGGACCTCACTGGGCCGTGGCGCCTCGGATGGCGTCGGGTGGCGTGTGTGTTTTTG